ACGTGTGTTATTTTCACAGAGCTGCTTAGTAGGGCCTGTGAAGAATGGTGCAGGCAGGAGAGTGGGGATCAGCAGATCTCAGCAGAGTGGGGCACTCAGCCGCCTTCCACCTGGGAAAAGTGCTTGCTTCCGGGAGGAAGCCTCAGCAGGTTCGAGTCCTTTAACTCCCCTCAGCCTCCCGGGTTTTACTCCCCCCTTTCTGTGCATTTTCAGGGGATGTGCTGGCCACGCCTCTGATCCAAGCTCTGTGGAACATAAGCACCCCAGAGTTGTACCTGCACCCTGAATCCTCAGCATGCGCCTGTTTGATCTCACCTATTACATGAACAGGGTACCAGAAACGGGGGACTGCGGGGTCCCCATCCTGATCAGGACATTCATATTGCTCTGGGACATGAGATGGGGATCCCGTTACAGAAGCCAGGGCCTTTGGGGGGGAGGGCGGACGTGACGGCTCCTGGGGAACAGCGGGGCAGCGCCGGCGTCCGGTGGGTGGGGCAGGGAAGGGGGCTCCGGGGGGCTGTGTTGGTTCTGGGGAGCACGCCCTGCGTTCTGGCCGTGTCGCGGGAACCCGCAGCACTGCTGCTGCGGCCTTATCCACAGGCGCTGGTGCGGGAAGTGTCTTAGAGGGTCGCCAGCATAGCAGGAAGCTGTGAATTACTTTTACTTAATAATGCTTACTGTTCAGTGCACCCCGAATTAGGCTGGCGTTGGGGTGCTTGAGCACCCGAACCTCTTCGCTGTTGGGTTTTATTGCTGTGTGATTCGGACTTCAGAATTCTTCTGTTGTCGGGGCCTTTGCCTCTCAGTGCTTCCCCGCAGTTCTGCGGGCAGCCTTGCGACCAGTCCCATCGGGTCACCCCTCTGGCGGCGTAGAGCCGTTCTTTGTAGATGACTCTAACTTTCAGGTGCCTGAGCTTCGCACTGGTCACTCATGGCCTTTTCCCTCCACCCCTGCTTGGCGGCCTCCAGCTTTCCCCGGGTCCCCCTCTCTCCCCTCGAAGGAAGGCTGCCCGCCTCTCCTCCTCGTCATCCGCTCCCAGTCAGTGGGGGGTCCGGGACGTGTCAGCACCGTGGGCAGCTGGTCGCTCACGGTGCTTTACCAAAGGTCAGTGGGGTGTTGTCCAGCCTGTCGGTACCAGCTGCACTGGTGGTCATTATGTGACATCGTCGATGCTGCACAGGTGGACCAGCGTGGGGAGCGAGAGTTGGTCTGTGAACGCCAGGGTAAGTGCTTTGGAGAAGCAAGTTCCTTTAAAAAGGAAATGCGCTTGAGCTAGGTTTGGGCAGAATGACTCCCAAAGACTAGGCTGGAGGAATCCTAGAAACCCAGGCACCCGCCCTTCCTGCTTCAGAGCGGTGCAGGTTCTCTCTCTTCCTCAGAGAGACTGGACATTGTCGGTGCACCATGGTGAATTATTTTAATGGTATTTTTTTAAGATTGATTTTTATTGATGCACACAAGAGCTGGGGTGCAGGACAGAGGTGTGGGGGGTGAGAGGATTCACCAGAGACAGAGCAGGGGACAGAACAGGCAATGGACCAAAACACACTGCTGAGGGGAGCAGCGGGCGAGTCAGGAGAGGTCTGCAGCGCCATGTGAGTAGCTCCCTGGCCTGGGATCAAACTTGTGCGTGCCACAGTGGCTGGCGATAGCGTGATAGTGCTGAGAATTTAACCCCTGGGCCACCGGGGAGGCCCCACATTGTGGTGAATTTTAAGCAAGAAGCACTAACCCGGGCCTCCCTGGTGGCGCAGCGGTTGAGCGCTGGGTTGCGAAGCTGCCCGCGGCCTCAGCAGCTCCGGTTCGATCCCCGGCTGCTCCCCGGCCACCGGAGGAGGGTCCCATATGGCGCGCAGACCTCTCCTGCCGCCCGCTGCTCCCCTCAGCAGTGTCCTTGGTCCTTCTGCCTGCTCTGCTCCCCCGCTCTGACTCTGGTGAATTCTCTCACCCTCCCACGTGCTTCTGACTGTACCCAGTGCTTGTGTAAATAGATAGATAGATAGATAGATAGATAGATAGATAGATAGATAGATAGATAAAATGAGCAAAGTCTATTTAAAAAAAAAAAAAAAGCACTAACCCGTTGGGAAGACCTTATTGGCCTTACATCCAACGTTTGGGGGCTTGCAACTGTTATTTAACAAATGATACTGGGGGGGAGTCACCGTGCTCGCCTGGTACGTGAATTGTCGGTTTTATTTTTTTTTTTTTATAGAGGCATGCTTTTTTTTATTTATTTATTTGTTTGTTTGTTTGTTTTGTTTATACAAGCACTGGGTACAGTCAGAAGCGCGGGAGGGTGAGAGAATTCACCAGAGCCAGAGCGGGGAGCAGAGCAGGCAGAAGGACCGAAGGACACTGCTGAGGGGAGCAGCGGGCGGCAGGAGAGGTCTGCGCGCCATGGGGGACCCTCGCCCGGCGGCCGGGGAGCAGCCGGGGATCGAACCGGCGCCGCAGAGGCCGCGGGCAGCTTCGCCACCCAGCGCTCAACTGCTGCGCCACCGGGGAGGCCCGAATTGTCGGTTTTAAGTGGTTTCCACGGACTCTGTTAGTGATGGAGAGGAAACCAGTGTTCTCCTCTGCACCACTCCCTTCCCCACCGCGTTCTCGTCCTGCCGCCTGTGGGGCCTGCAGCCTGGACTGCGCTTGTCGCTCTGACCCACTTCCGCCCACAGCCTGCGCTCGCCGCCTCGGTGCTCGTGGCCGGCCATCGTGGTCGTTCCCGCCGCCCTGGGTTGGCGTAAGAGTGTCCTTCGGGAGCTCCCTCCGGAAGACCCGCGGGCCCAGGCTCCTGTCCTGGTGTCCTTGAGTGACAGTCGACTGGGCACAGAATTCCGGGGCCGCTCTTTCTCTCCTTGGTCTGCTAGCACTGAATTTTACTGAGAACATTTTCAAGATTTTGTCTCTTTTGAGCAGTTTGATCTTTTCGCCTAGTTGCAGAAATCTAGAAACCTTCCTAGAAGGTCCGTCTTGGCGCCAGTGGCTGGCCCTGGCCACCACATGCCGTCAGCCTGGTGGACGCAGTGTGGACTGTACCTGCCTGTGGCCTTGTGGGCCGGTCTGTGTGTCCACGTTCGTTCCCTGCCACTTCATCTGCTCCACGCAGCGTCGCCTGGTCTTTGCCTTCGGTTTTCTTCTTTCTTTCCAAATCTTTCATATTTTGTTTATCTGTTTTCCCGGGGCAGCTTTCCTTTTACAACATGTCTTTATTGGTAAATTTGGGCCTCCCCCGGTGGCGCAGCGGTTGAGCGCTGGGTTGCGAAGCTGCCCGCAGCCTCTGCAGCGCCGGTTCGATCCCTGGCCGCCGGGCGAGGGTCCCACACGGCGCGCAGACCTCTCCTGCCGCCCGCTGTTCCCCTCAGCAGTGTGCTTCCCTCTGCCTGCTCTGCTCCCCGCTCTGGCTCCGGTGAATCCTCTCACCCTCCTGTGCTTCTGACTGTACCCAGTGCTTGTATAAGTAAATAAGTCTTTAAAAAAAAAAATAGGTAAGTTTTCCATGGCCCAGCTGTTTGCAGGATGCCGGCTTGGGGAGGTGCCAGGCCGCTGTTCCGGGTTGGCTGCACGCTTCCGTGCTTGGGGTCCAGGCTGTCCCTCCGCAGCCCAGGCATGGGGCTCTGTGAGGGCAGGGCAGTGCTCTCCCGGCCGCAGGCGCGCTCTGGGAGGTGAAGAGCTTGTTTGCGCGTTGATTGGCCCTAACTCTTGGCCCACACAAGTTCCTGCTTTGCCAGGCAAAGAATGTCTGGTCCCAGAGGGTGTGTCCTTTGCCTGTAGGAAGTATGTTTTTACAGGTCCCTGATTTTGGCAGCTGTTGCACCTACTTTGGGGGCCAGAGTTTTGGTATCTTCTAGTTTTATAGAAAACAGACCGTGCAGGGCCTCCCCGGTGGCGCAGCGGGTGAGCGCTGGGCTGCGAAGCTGCCCGCAGCCTCTGCAGCGCCAGTTCGATCCCCGGCTGCTCCCCGGCCACCAGAGGAGGATCCCGCACGGCACGCAGACCTCTCCTGCCGCCCGCTGCTCCCCTCAGCGTCTGCCTGTTCTGTTCCCCGCTCTGGTGAATTCTCTCACCCTCCCGCGCTTCTGACTATACCCAGTGCTTGTATAAATACATAAATAAATAAATCTTTAAAAAAAAAAAAAAGAAAACAGTGTACATTTTTAATTTACTTTTTTTTTTGCACTTGGAACACATTTTGAACAGCATGAAGAGTTCTCACTTTGCGCTGTGGTGCTCAGATCCAGCCTTAACGCACGTTTTCCCCTAATGATCGACTGCTGGTCCCCAGGGCCTGTGTCGGGCATTTTCCTGCACCTTCTCCCTCAAGCCTCCCCTCATACTGCCACCCGCCTCCCGAGTACCCAGAACCCGGGGCGTGTGTGCCTTTCATTCCTCCGTCGTGCCTGCTCCCCGCGAGGGGTGTTCCAGGCCTCGGGGATAAAGCCTGAGGAATGTGCTTGACACACCGGGGCCCAGATCTTAACACGCTGCCCTCTGAGCCAGGGGCGAGCGGTGATCTGGGGGAAGATAGTTTGGGGCTTGGAGGAAGTGTGGCGGAGAGGGCGGCGTGGGAACCTGGCGTCCGCCAGCGCTGCGGGCTGCTGTGGGGCTGCTGGACACCGCGCCAGGCGCCACGGCATCAGCGGTGAAGCTGCCGCGACTGTCTCAGAACCCAGCGTGGACCGCACGCCAGCTCAGCGCTTCACACGCGGTGTCGCGTTTAGTTCTCGGCACCCAGCTCGCAAAGAGCAGAGCCGAAACTCAGCCAAGGTGGGGCTCAAGGGCCTGTGCACTCGCCACCTCCCCTGGCCGGGAGCAGCCGAGCGGTTGGGGTATGATGCCCCGTGGGCAGGCCCAGTGGTCTCGCCTGGCAGCGGAGAAGCTGGGACCTCGGGAGTCTCGTCTGACCGGGGCCCCGCCGCGCGGGAGGGCCCCCGAGGCTGCCGCCTGGCCCGCCCCGGCGGCCGCACTGCCCTGACCCTTCTTCTTGCTTCCTCCTCAGGTGCACTACATCCTCCAGGAGGTGGTGATGGGCGGGATGGTGCTGGAAACAAACATGAATGAAATCGTGGCTCAGATGGAAGCTCAGAACAGGCTGGAGAAATCCGAGGTGAGTTGTAGCGGCTCTTCCGCCCCGGGCGAGGGTAGAGCGGGCGCTTGTGGGGGTTCGTGTCGTGGTGCAACTGCCGGAGCGCCCCGAGCCTGTCTCCTTTCCTCCTTGGGCCACCCAAACACACTGACCGGAAGGCCGGCCTTGAGAAGTCAGCAGGTCAGAACGATGCTTGAAATCTCAGCCTCGGGCCGGCGGCGTGGCTGGGAAAGCCGGTGGCTGCGGGAAGCAGCTCCCGGTGGGGGCTGTGGTGGGGGCTGTGGTCGGTGGCCGCGGTTGTGATTTCTCCTCCAAGCTGCACGTCCCTGGAGGGAGCCAGAGGCCCCTCGGCTCCCAGTGTGGCTTCCTCACTTGTGTGTGGGGTGGGAGTCTGCGCTCCCAGCCGCCCTTTCTCTCGGTGTCTTTCAGACCGCAGGGTTCCCAGTTCCCGTATTTCCAGTTAACCTTATAGAAAGCTGCAGTAGAGTTTGGGTTGGTCTGGAAATGACATGCCCCAGCGCAGGCCCGGTGGTCTCTGGGTTTGACCAAGATGCTCCTGGTACCTGTGCCGAGGCCTCCGTCCCCTTCATCGGCCTGCCCGGGGAGCCAGAGGTCACGGCACGCACCTCCACCCGTGCCAGCAGGCAGAACAGGCCGCTCTGTAGTTACTGAGCATCTTCAAGGGCTTCATCGCTCGTTGTAACTGAAGTAGATCTTCCAAAAGAAGAAACTGGAATTCTTTCCCGTGAGGACTGCCAGTCCCGCTGAAGCAGCTTTTCCAGGCCACATGTTTTGTGGCAACTACGGTTGTTTCAGAAATGCAGGCTGGGAAGCTTCCAGGAACAGTGAGTGAGTCAGAGGCAAGGGGACTGGAGACCAGAAGAAACAGAGGCCTGGGTGAGGCTGGAATTGCATCGTGGAGAGGCAGCTGGGAGAGAGCCCTCGTCTCCTCCCCTTCTCCTTACCGGGGGGCCGGGGACAGCGAGGGCTGGCACAGGCGCCTCCCTCCTGGGGCCACGTGACGTCCCACGGCCAGCTCACATGGCCCGGGGCTGGGACTGCCTTTTCCTTTTAAGAACTTCCCTGTGACCACTTGCCTCTCTTGAGAGAGGGTTTTACTTTGCTTCATAACCAGAGAAGTGCCCCAGGGGCTGAGTACAACTTGGGTAAACCATACTGAGCGCCTCCTGTATGCCAGGTGCCGCTGTGTGCTGGGGCTACAAAACTGCATTCGACACAGCCCCTAAAGGCCCACAGAATTCGGGCCCCCGGACCCTAACCCCCCTGTAACCTAAACATCACACCTTGCATTGTGTGTGTGCTCAGTCTCAACGTTGTAGGCCTCGTCCGCATTTTTTTTTTTTTTTTTTTAAAGCACGAAGCAGACACAGGTTGGCCTCACACCCACCTCTTTTCTCCTCAGGGTGGTCTCTCGGCAGCCCCCGCCAGGGCTGTGTCTGCTGTGAAGAACATCAATCTCCCGGAGATCCCTCGGAACATCAACATCGGCGATCTCAACATCAAAGTCCCCAACCTGTCCCAGTTTGTCTGAGGGCCAGGACCTGAACAGACTGGGGTGCGGGGGCCGGGCCGAGCCAGTCCCGCAGCAGCGCCTGCGCCCGGAGAGTCATACCAGCAGGGCGGGGCTCCCTTCTCACATTTGCGGTCCTGCGGCCTCCTCTGCACGTGGCCACTGCCCACGTGGGGGCCTGCCTTCCTCGGAGGGGCAGCACGGACAAGCCTCGCCCCGTCCCCCCGATCCCCAGCGGCGGGGCCTGTATCGAGAGGCCATCTGCTTCTCAACCCCCACCCCCAGTGCTGTCCCTTCTCTGACAAGAGTCTCCTCAGCCCTCGAGGCTCTGAGGGCTGTCTCCTCTGCAGGCGAGGTAGCCGGAAATTGGCTGATGCTCAAGTTTGGGGGATGAGGAGCGTAACAGGCAGGATTTTACCAGAACCAGAGTTGCCTACCGGCTGCATCAGGGTTGTCCGAGTTGGAGCCCCTTTGTGTGGTCGGCTCTCAGTGGCCCCCTCTGCAGAGCACGTCACCCCCTTGGTCCAGCCCTCGCGCTGCTCTGGAAGGGTTTATGTGCCGGACGCAGTCCACACTCAAACCTGGTGTTTGTCCCCACACCGCACGGGGCGAGTGTGTCTCTAGAAGGTAAAACTGACTGTAAAACGGAATAGTCCGGAGTCCGCTCTTGCAGGCTGGAAATACATTCTGCTCACGAGGAAGAGGCGCTCGGTCGCTGTGTTGTGAATGCAGGAAGCCAGGGCCACTGTCCAGCTCTGGGGCCCGGGGGGGGGGGGGGGCGGGGATGTGTCTTTCCCCGGGGTGTGCGCGGCCCCGCCTGGGTGCCGTTCAGGGCTCGGCCTGTTCTCAGGTGACACCCTCCCGAGCTTTGGGAACCCGTGAGGTGGTGTGCAGTGGAGTCTACCTGCCTGTGCTCCGTGAGGGGAGGTGCGGCGTCTCACCTGTGACTGCTGCCCGGCCCCGGGCTGTTCTCAGGCCTCCTGAGGGGCCTGCGGGGGGTGCCTGGCAGGACCGCACCCCTTCCTCAGTGAGCGCTTCCCGAGCTGGGCCCCATCCTTCCTCTCTGAGCCTCTGAGAGCTTCAGAGCTGGGCGGCGCTGAGGAGGAGATGGGTCGGCCTCTTCCTCCAGAAGAGGGAAATGGATGCACGTCTGTCCGTTGTCCAAGCCCCTGCCTCCTGGTGAAGGCCTCGCTTCTCTAGCAGACACTCGAGCACATCACATGTTTCTCTCGCGTGTGCTGCACGCGGGAGAGGAGTAAAGAGGGACCCGTGTTCGTTTCGCACTGCTGTCGGCAGCGTGGCTGGCTTCCCCCGGCGTCCCTGCAGCATTGGCCACTCCGCTTTGTGGATGAAGGGAGACTCGGCGCTCGGTCCTGCGGCCTCATGTCACTGCTCGAGATGGTGCCCAGTTGTGTTTTCATTACATAGAAGGAAACGGAGGCTGAAGCGTTGGAGAAGCTTCTCAGGAGCTGTGGTGGGGGCTGGCGTGGTTTCCCCGTCACAGGGCAGCGGCGAGTGTGAGGGAGCCCCCTCCACGCCCCTCTTAAACGAGCCTGTGTTGAGCGCTGCGGGGGCCACGAGGCCGCGCCAGCTGGTCTTCCTGGAGGTTGTCTGTGCACGTCCCCACGCGACCCTCAGGTGGCCACGTGTCCTGCGTTTCTCTAGCCTGCCGGGAACCAGTGGTTCCCCTAAACCAAACCATGGATCGCCCCACAGACCCCAGCATGGGCACCCCGACAGCATCCTCCCGGCCTTTTAAATGGCTTAAAGCTTTAGCCTGGGTTTTGTTTGAAAAAGTGTTACCCAGACAAGCCTGGGTCAGCGCTCACCACCTGCCCGGGGCTGCTGCAGGCCTGGCGTCTGCTGGGGGGTCTGCACAGACGTGGGGCTGGGCTAGCTTGCTAGCCCAGTGGTTGGTGCTGGCGTTTCCTGGGGGTGCGGACCCCAGGTGGAAGCCTCAGATCCCCCAACTCAGTGCTGAACGCCAGGCTCCGGTGGGGGAGACGCCGAGGCTCTGTGTATTTAGAGGACATTAACCCTCCCCACCGCCAGCTGGCCCCCGGGAGCCCTGCCGGCCGTGCTCGCCACCGCTTGTCCTGGTTCTGGCGGCTGTAACAGGTCGTGTAGGCTGGAGCGGAAGCAGCAGCTGCCGAGCCTCCCAGTGCCAGAGGCAGCAGCGCCCGTCTCCTGGGCCACGTCCCCTGCCATCGGCTCTGGGCTCTCCGTCCACCCCCTGACCTCACGAAGGCCCCACTGCCAGGTGCTCCATCGAGGACCAGGCCCTTGACACCCGCACATGCTCCGAGCTGCCCGCTTCTCCTCTGCCCGTGGGCCAGGGTCAGGTGGGCTCGAGGCCCCGCAGTCTCCTCCCTCCTGGGAGCCCCTCGCAAGGCCCTGCCTGGCCCAGCCGGCTTTCCTGACAGCGCGTGGCAGAGCCGTGCCTGGAGGGCAGCCCAGGAGGAGGAGGAGGCCCCCCCTCTTCAGCCTCCTGGAGCCTCCCCCCCACTGTCTCATTGTTACCCTCCACCCACCGGGGTCAGGCCGTGCAGGCCGTGCCCTGCCCGGGCCAGCGGACTCTTGATCTCCAAAGGCCCCTGTAGCTTTTTCCCGTCGGGTGAATTTGTGTTTTAAAAAGGAAACACGCTGAAGCCATTCCAAACGCGTCAGACTCCCCGGCCTGCTGCCCGCAGCCTGGGCCTGAAGGAAACAGCCGTTTGAATGTGACCTAGTAAAAGAGACCCTGGATTTTCACCGAAACGGAGTGTCTTCCTCGGGTGTGGGCTCCACTTGGCCTTGGTGCTTGACCTCTGCCCTCCCTCAGCCTCGCCTGTCTCCATGGTGCTGAGCTGTGGATGGGAGCCCCCCCAGGGCAGGGGCACCCCTCCTCCAGGCCTGTCTCCAGGCGCTCGATGAACACCAGTGGGTGGCGGGAGCGAGGTGGCCAGGGAGTGTCCTCAGCCCATTCCCTGCCGCCCGCGGCCCTGTCAGGTGAGGGCTGTGAGGCAGAGGGACAGGAGAAGGGCCCAGCTGGTGGCCCCTGGGCCGGCAAGGAGTGGGGGCAAGGCGTTGGGGGCAGGAAGCCCGGTGCGGGAGGAGGCAGAGGCGCGGCCCGCACCGGGAGGGGGGTGGCAGGGGGTGGCGGGCGATGGGAGCAGGCAGCAGAGGAAGTGAGTGTCCTTTCAGGAGGCGATGGTCAAAGCTCGGGGAGTGAGGTGGCGGGGCTGCGAGCAGGGTGAGGACGCAGGCCTGGGCGGGGCAGGGGGAGAGTGGTCAGTGGGGGGTCTTCTAGAAAGGGCAGGCTTTCTGTGGGGAGGCCCTGCTGAGGCGCCGGGACTGGAAGAGGTGACCCGGGCTTGCCGGGCCTCGCCCCTCCTCCCCGTAGGGAGGCAGAGAAGTGAGACCTGAGGAGGCTCTTCCTGAGGGCAGGGTGTGTCCAGGCACAGCAGGGTCGGGGGCACTGCCAGAGTCTCGGTGGGGTTGGGCCTGAAGGGGTGACTCCTGCCGGGGGTGGGGGTGGTCCTGCGGGCGAGAGCACGGATGGGCACCAGAAGGGCTCCACACGGCTGCTGTCGCCACTCTGGGGAAGGATGCAGAAAGGGGGGTTGGTGGACGGTGAGCGCCGGCCCCGCCCCGGCTGTGCCCCGTGCTGGCTAGAGACAGCTCCTCCCCCGCCCAGGTCCTGCTGGAGAAGCTGGTGGGGTCTCTGGAAAGTGACGCTCCCCCCCCCCAGGAGCTTGGTGACAGGAGCACACCAGTGACTGCAAGGACCCCAAGAGTGGGACACACAGCCTGGAGCCAGCCCTGGAGGGAGGGGATGGAGGGGCGCTGGGCAGGCCAGGGCTCAGCTTCAGCTGGACTGGGGCAGGGCCTTGTGGGGATGCCACGCTTCCCCGGGCAAACCTCAGGTTTTGTCAGCTGTGACATCAGCTGGCCCCTCCGAGCGCGTGAGCGCAGGGCTGCCCCTGCTGACGGTGGCCTGTACCCCGGCGGGAGTCCCCTTGGCGACCCAAGAGCATAGCACGGGGTGCCAGTCAGTGACTCAAAGATGGGTCCATCGGTGCCCAGCTGTGGTGATATTCAAAATCTTGAGCCGCCAGGACCCCTCAGGCATGGATGCACCAGAACGGAGGTGCCAGCTGGCGAGGGGTGTCCCTAGGGGTCCGTGATGGTTCTGCCACCTGGGCCTTCTCTCCTGTGGCCCCAGCATCCAGGAGGTGCCCTGTTTGGGGTGCAAATGACCCCTCAAGGCGTGCGTGTGTGGCCTGGGGAGTCAACGGACCCCTGCCCCGGCACTGCAGTGGGAGGGTCTGGGCCATGCCCTCAGGAATCCCTGCGGAGCACCACCTGGGCAGCCTGGAGGATGCTCTCCTCTGGCCTCAGTTCTGTGCACTTGGCCCTGGACACCCTTCCCTTGACCCTCCCCAGGCCTCCCAGATGCTCCCTAGCTGGCCCCAGGCCACCCCATCTCACTGGCCGGCGTGAGACAGCTCAGGCCAAGGTGGCACACAGGGCCTGGCGAGCCCTCCTGTCCCTTATCTGGGAAGGCCAGCGGGATTTGAAGCACCAACTGCTATAAAGCAGCTTGTAGGCTGGAGGGTCCCCCCTGCTGGACTACCTGGGGCTGGCCCCTCCCTGCCTGCACCCTCCAGTGTGCCAGCCACCTGGCCAGCTGTTTAAAGTGCAGGCGGCAGGGACAAGATTAGAAGGAAATGCCCGGGTCAGACAGACAAGCAGGCGCCACGGTGGCCCTGCTTGGCACCGTGCTGTGCCGGGTACAGGTGGCAGTCTGAGTGCCCTCCCTCCCCACCCCCAGGTCAGCCTCCGAGCACAGCCTTGGAGTCAGATCAGGTCACGGCACTCCCTGCAGGCCCAGCCCTGCTCCGCTGCCCTGGCTGCTCTGGCTCCCACAGTCGTCTGCTCTGGGCCAACCTTCCGGCTTTGTGATTGGGGTACAGGGTCCCCCGTCCCTGCTTCCTCTTTCCTAATGGCCCCAAGCTTCAGTCTCTCCTTGGGGGCCCACTAGCCTCCAGTCCCAGCCTGACAGCCAACATCTCCCCCGGTGCCCCCACCCCAACCCCTGCCGGACACCAGCACCCCCTAAACGGTCTCACGGCCTCTCCCGCCGCCCCTTCTCCTTAAGGCCCATGCCGTTGCTCAGCTGCCAGAATGAACCTTCGAAAGCTCTAAGCAGACCACACTGCGACTGGCAGTGCTTAGAACTTTCCAGAGACTTCTCACCAGCCTCAGAAAACACAGCGGCCCTGCGGAGCCAGCGGTAGCTGCCTCTGACCTCGGGGCCACCCGCCCTGCCTGCCCCTTCCTGTATCTTGAGGGCGCAGGTCCCTGGCCTGAGCGCCTGCCCTGCCACCCCTCTGCCTCTGCCCTCCCTGCTGGGATGTCACCTCAGGGAGGCCCCTGTCCCGCCCGCCTGAGAGAGCCAGCCCTCACCCCAGCCGTCTCCCCATCAGGCGTGGGAGGGGGCTCGCATGCTTTCTTGCCGCTATTGACTGAGCCCAGCGCGCACTGGTCCACGTTTAGCTTCAGGAGATAAATGATGATCAGGTGGGAATGACTAAGCACCCCTGTTGCGTCGGGCAACACCACACTGACAGAGACACGGGCATCGTGGAGCAGGCTGCACGGAGCAGGCTGTTCAAGGCAGGAGGCTGCCGAGACAAGCTCCTGGCCGTGTTTACGGATAGAATAATCACAGAGCACCAGCTACGTGGGGCAGGAGGACAAGGAGAAAAGGGTGGGGGA